AGTTGAGCAGGAAAGCCTTTTATCTTCACTGGTTTCCGAGTTAGCAATTTACCCGCAAAAAACCTTGTTGAGTCCATATGTAGGTCTGAAGTCGTTAATACCTACGTGGAGGAGAGCATCCTCTTAAAATTCCATTCTTTTAGCTTTTTAATTTCCTAAGTTAACAACTTACCCGCAAAAAAATTCGCTGGTCCGTACGTGAAAACCATAAACACCTGAGGGCTAGGTTTGAACTCACCAAGACTTACGTGGACGTGGAATATACCCTTAAAATTACAGTCTTCTAGCTTTTCTGGTTACCAAGTTGGCAACTTGTACTGGATGGAGAACATCATACCCCTTCAACTTAAGCTTTCTGTCTTTTCAGAATCTCGAGTTAGCAACTTACCCGCAAAAAACCTCCACTGGCCCGTGTGTAGGAACCATGCATACCCAGACGCTGGGCCTGAACCCACTGGGACCTAATTGTTAGCCTAATTGGACAAGGAATATCGCCTCAAAATTACACTAATTTTTCAGCTTCCCGAGTTAGCAACTTACCGAAAAAACTTTCACGGACCCGTATGTGGGAACGTCGCTTACCAGGACTGATGTTGAACTCAACAATACCTACTTGGACGAGAAACATCCCTTTAAAATTCCAGTCCTGTAGCTTCTCAGGCTCTCGAGTTAGCAACTTAGCCGAAAAAAAAAATTTCACAGGCTCATACGTCAGGAACCACGCATACCCTCGTGCTAGATTTGAATTCATTAATACCTACATGGATAGGGAACATCTTAAAATCTCAGCTTTCTAGTTTTTCTGATTCCCGAATTAGTAGTTTGCCTGCTATAAACTTTGGCGATCCCGTACGTGGGTGCTACGCGGGTAAGAGCGCCCATTTTGGGGTTGGATCCGTAGGTGTATGTAGATTAAGTTCCCAAAGTTTCAGCCCTGTAGCTTTTATAGGTCTTGAGATGAAAAATCGGTACTGGCGCACACACAAACACACAACCTCTCTGTCGAGAGGTTGTGTGTTTGTGTGTGCGCCAGTACCGATTTTTTTTTTTTGCATTGCATAGATACAGAAAAAGCATAATACAAAAATTCTGGCCAGCAAAGTCGTCCGCAGTAATTGCCTCAGTTCCTGAATTGGAAGCGGTACGTCGGCTGCTCTTCGTTTCATTGATGAGCGCGGTCCATCGCCCCCAAATCGTTTTCTTGAGCACGGTTCATCGGCTCCGGACCGCCCAAATACCGATAAACTATTAAATCTTTATCAATAAATGATAAAAAATAACAAACTTTAAAACATGAAACGTCAAACGCGAATATATAAAACACACAAACCAATTGCAATATATTACTACTATACAAAACATATGGCACAGTAATAATGCAAAAAATGGGATGGGGTGGTTTCCTTCGTCATTCCTCGGCGAATAATGAAATCGACCGAGGAACTTCAGATGATCGCCAGCCTATCGCCGCCATCCGGAAGTCCGAACCTTTACGACGAATAAGGGCGTTTTGGCAGAAGTCCTACGCCCACCGAGGAATGTGAGTAGCCATCCCCAGCTTACTCATATTCCAGGTGCCAACAAAATACAAATACAGCGGATAGAAAATGAAACTGCGCCATCGACATATACATGCCCCATGTGGGTACACATAATTTTTAAATATGATTCAAACTTTCGAACTTTAAGAAGTTGCACCTTCTCGTCCAGAGTTGAAAGTGACTGCAAACTGAAAATAGCGTTTGTAATAATAGACCCTTGATATTAATGCTGCTTCCCCTGTTTAAACAAAATGAAGGGTAAGTCCGGATTCAGTTCCAAACGTTGTGAGAATATTCGAAGCAGGTCTTGATGTACTGCTCTAATTTTGTTATGAGGAAGACAAGGAACGACGGCGTTACGACGAAGATGCTGGTACGACGAGCTTCGGACGGGAAATCGGATGACCGCTGCTGTACTGCGGCGTGTAGTGGGCAGATTGGAGTAAACGAACAAACTTTATTAACACTAACACAAGTTTACAAGGCTTCGTTGAGGCGACGGGATTAAGTTGGGCGACTGCAGCGACAACCGCTGCGAACAAAGTGTCGATAACTGGATTGCAGCACCACACTGCTGCGCTGGACCTTTGGACGCTAAACCACGGGACACGCTGAACGCCACCGATCCGGAATACTGAAGACACGGGACGATAACGTTGAACACTACACGGAGGACGCACCCGACGATACACGACGATACACGGAGGACGCACCCGACGATAACGTTCAGACGAAACATATACACTGAGTATTACAACAAATTCACCAGCTTCAATACTTATCACAAGGGGCGGGACAGATCATGAGTCAAACTGTTGCACGTTTCTGGATTGCTCCTTGCTTCCCCTGCGCGCCACCTCTTGCTCGCTCTACAATTTCAGATCACTTTTTTTTCTCCCGCTCCATCTAATATGAAGTGATATATGGACTCGATGCTGTTTTTAAGCGTGCAGCAATTTGCATCACACAGTTTTTCTGCTCAGAATTCAGCGAACTGGGCATGTTTTCAAATCCTGCACGAAACAGTTCATTTAGTAACCGGAAATTCTTTGCGTACTGAATTCGTTCGTACTGCCCATCTTCAACGTGAACCACTTTTATAATAAGTGATAAATTCAAAAATTGGTGCAGTAACAGAATCTCTCCCATCGCCCACTTCCCGAGCTTGCGTATCGTCTTGTGCTTGTTCCATGGTATCCTTAAACACAGCATTTGGGAAGTGGTGAGGCCTCTCCCCACTTTGCGCAATTTCATCGCGTACTTCTTCCTAATCAACACTGATAATCTTTTCTTCATTTCTCCAAGGATAACAAAGCACTAATAATTCTTCATAAAATTGTTCAGAATCGGTGTGATTGTCATGCGTCTGATACTGGATGATTTTTGGCTTAAGGCGTATTCTGATATATTTGCACCATTTATCAGTTTTGTGTAGTGTTCGTCTGCGGTGGTATCTCCTAGTTCGTCACTGCTACTTATATCTTTATCAGCTAGTGCAGCACTCCGCAAACTTCTCCTGATTTATTTATAGCAGTTATAACACGCAATGAAATCGGTAACTGAGATGCCTTCCAGTGTAGCCGGTAGTTTTGCGTAATATCTAAGACATCGTGTGCTACGCAACCGCACGAGGCTGTGTTTAATGTGTGAATCTCCTGCCTTGGCTTTACAGCTCTTTTACGCTCATCTGCAGCGACGTTTGTATAAGGAATAACTTTTCAAAGCAGTACGATACTGCAATTTGAAGAATGCCGTAACTGGCTTCCTGGCTTAAAGTTCAGTGGCATTACAGATGTACTGCACTGCTCGCAAATTACTGCTCCCTCGCCGCAACTCCTTTACATTATCTTCAATCATATTGCCTATTCCTGTATCCGATTTATTGTATAATTAGTAACACAGGAGAGCGCTTGAAGCATCTTCCATAATAATACAGGTCCCAAGCGATATGAAGATTGTGTGACCGTAGGATATAGAATCCGCCAGGTAATCTATCCCGCTCATAACTGATTGTTTCTGTCAAAGAGAGTGTTGCGTCTGGATAACCCCGGACGACTCCTCACTCCTCATGTATTGGACATGAAGGGTAGTCCGGGTGAACAATTCTGACAAAACCGCGCTTCTGATACATTTCAGCTGCACAGATCAATTCGTGCCAACTGCCTGAGTGGCTTTTAGTGGACAACATGATCGCGTGATGATGATCGCACATACGTCACTGAAGCAAATATTTGCGGATAGCACATTCGCAGATATGTATTCAGCATTCGGAGGATAGGGCGAGGGAGAGGAAGCACTCGAAACGTGTCGTATGTTTTCCAACTTTTATCCTTAGAGGGCGCAGCGATGCAATGACAAGTGATGAAATCCAAGACGCACCAGCGACTATTTTTGGTGCTTCATAATGGCAAAGGATTCCGATGTCCTAACATCGCATACGCTACTACACTTCCAAAACGGTCTACATATGAATGAAATCAGTGAACAAATAATTGCTTCCTTTCGACCGAATTTATAGTATTGGCTATCGCACTTTTCCAGTCTTCCAATTTGAATTTATCAAAATTTGGCGGCCGAAATTTGCCATCTCGAACCAAGTCAGCGAGCTCCTTGAACATCACATCTCGTTCCTGAAAATTATGACTGCCACTTATTCATATTACTGGAATTCGACGCAGACTTCTTAAAAACAATGAATTTCTTCGCCAGCACTAAATATTGCCTGCATTATAGATCGAGAGGTATGCGTAGCCATCTAGTTTAGATCACTTTACCTTAACTTTGTCGTGAAAATGATCAAGGAAAAAAAAAGCGCAGCTTGACATTCTTATTTCTACTTTTGATACAACTCGCTTTTCACTGATGCTTGAATTTATGAACTCGCAGGGCCGGCCACTAATTTGAACGAATAAGGTGATGTGGGTGTGGAAAGCTGATGAAAAGTTGCCAGCTGCATAGTTGAAGAACTAGATTATGAAACAACAGATGTTCTACGCAAAGTATCTCTGTGTAAACAGATGCCTGGCCAATACTGCATTACATAGTAAGCAATGAGGGAATGGAAGCTCATTACACATCTTTAGGCGAATTTAGCTCCTTTTGACTCAGCTTCATTAGTATCATCACGTACGGAATTCTTTCTCCTTACCATACATTCTTTTCGAGTATGCTATCACCCGAAATAAATCAACAATTTTATGGTATTTTGAAACTTTGGCTAACTCTCGATAAACGGCTCTATCAGCCTGCCTAACAAGTGTCCTCAGTGCAGAAAGTCACCGTCAGTCATTTCCCTTACGAATAATAGTCCGTTATCGCGCATAAAAAAATATCGCGAAAATCCAGTCTTCATTGTTAACTTTGTTGCTGTGACGTTTTTCAATACTGATTCTCGAATTCTGTAGGAGAAGGTATGAAATTCAAGTTTCTATCCTCATACAAAATCAGTCAGCAGTAATTCCGAACTTCCTCGCAACCAGCTTATTGGGAAAACAGAAAGTTCATTTCAGGAACACGACCCACATGGATTTGTGAGCCAGATTTTTCAGTTTAGAAATATCGATAACGATGTACTGCATCAACAATGATGAGCCAGAGATCTTGTAGAAACTGTAAAATTTGTTCGAAAATCAAAAAATCAACGTGATGTCAAATTTCACAGCTTAAAGATAATTTTGCTCCATAGCCAACATCAAATCAAAATATGATGATTTTCCGCAACCTTTTCTCGCTCTTTCGTGGCTCAAAATTTAAAACGCTTGAACATTTGACAAGTGGTACGACAAAAGTGCAGAACTACTCACTGCTTTGTTCTCTTCCATTGTATACCAATGACTCATCCAGAATCCGCGAAGTTGAATGTTTTTGAAAATGAACGGACCTGTTGGTGCCTGAAATATCTACGGCTAAAGACAATGCTACTATGCATGACTAGGGCCGAAAGAAGAACAAACTCGTCATTCTTCCCTATCTCCAGATCTTTCAGCATCACTGATCTTTGTGCATTAGTCTAACCGAATAAACTTTTTTTACCTCCAAGGCTTCTCCCACTTACATCCCTTACTATACAGCTACTACACCTCCAGGACACACCACGATTTCCTCTGGCTTTTTTCGCGCATCCGAGACAGTTACTGTACTGCATATGCAAGCGAGAAAGTAAGTGGCAGCACACGACAGAAGCCACCGATCATGCGTTTCTGCGACGAGCCCATAACGGGTGAATATGATAACAACAGATACGAATTCTTTCTGCTTAGTCACCACCGCCTTTTGATCTACTTGGCGAAAAAACTAAGATTACTTCGTTCCAAAACTGAGCTGCATGTAAGACCAACCATAGATCAAGAAACGTGAAAATTTAGAATGTCGCTCAGATTCTCTAAATACTAAAGATTTGAACTCGCAGTTCGTCCCGTTTAGAAAGTGTATTAGTTCGGACGCAAATTCTAAATCTAACATCCACAACGCAACAAATAATCGGCTATAAGCTGATTTCTGGCATTTACGTCGCACTGCGCAAACAACAATATGTCTAAAATTTCTGTTTTCTAGATCACTTATTTTGAAGTCTTGGCTTGTCAGAGTAGTATGAAATGCCGAAAATCAGCTGCCGAAATGAATTCTGAGAGAAAATTTCCGGAAATGCAAAATCACAACTTGCAAAATTACTCAGATTAAAAGAAAAACATAGGTTAGAGCACACTAACGAATTGCAGCACCCTCAAAGTGGCTTCATTTAATAATGCAAAACCACCGCTAAGCTGCCCAATCCACTAATCAGACATTTATAGTAATTGGAAAGGTACAAGACGCTCGGTGGAGCGAGGTAGGGGCGGAGAAGGAAGGCGAGCTGGA